CACTGATTACGAGCGCCCATTGGATAAACACACAAGTTGCGTTAACTTCCGGTTCCAGTGGTGCCATGCTACACCATGTACAGTAAAGCATGGCTAAGTTGAGATGACGTCACACTTACAAACCGGATATCTATGGCGTGCACGCGCGTATGATGCGCGCGGCAGGAAAATGCAGCGTGGCATTTTTGGAGAGGAGCACGTGTTAATTTGCCCACGTGTGCACTGGGCGGAATACCGGATCGGTCCATTCAACTAACGAGCTATCCAAACGAGCTTTTGACAACCCTTTGTTATTTGTTCATCAACTGTTACTTGTGACTGGACTTGTGATTTACTTGTGATTGGACTCGTAACGGACTTGTGATGGACTTAACTCGACTGTACCTGTCACTTCGGACCCAAAATGTATTGAATGATCCTAATATCTACCCCTACCCCCTTTTAAAGCTTTAATAATAATTTGCATACGGCATGCTAAATAATGTCCCAAAGACATGCAGTGCGGCGTGCTGTTTGAGTTGCAACGTACCCGACTATATAGACTATGTTTAAGACCGGTTGGAGTCTGGATGCTAATAATTACTCGACCAATAGGAATGGGTAAACTATCTTAGGTTTTTGTAAATGGTAAATATAGGGTGCGTTCGAGTAGCTCACCCGGATGGACTCGGGTAAAGGCAGACGGGTTAGCCACAAACCGAGATAATCGAAAGCCCCGCCGCGGGCCATCACGATCCTCGTCGTGATGTCCGTAGCCGCGGCCGTGGCCTCTGACAAAACGCCCGTTTCGTGCTGGGTCTTCGTTTTAGAAAACAGCCTGACGGACAAGCAGCTACCGTGACCTACCCGCAATGCAGTGGCGTAACCACCGGGGGGCGTGGGGGGGGGGCGACCGCCCCTCCCCCCCCCCATGAAACCTTGTCGCCCCCCCCCCCAGTCGCCCCCCACTGAGATTTTGAGTTTCTAAAAAAATTATCATTGATCTACATGACGCCATGGGCGTCAATCCTGGGGGGACAGGGGACATGTCCCCCCCCCCCCCCCACCCCACTTTTTGAAGGGTGGGGGACACAATATCAAATGTCCCCCCCCCCCGATTTTTGAACTTGTGTCTCATTTACAGGACCCTATTATGTACTACAATGTATCTTTTGCTTAGAAAATATTGGTTAAAGTGGTAAGAAATTGCCTCAGATCACACCACAGAGCATCGAGAATCCAATTTTTTTCAGGGGCCCTTAAGCGGGCCCCGAACCCCACGCCTATAGCTCAGAATACCGATAGCTGATTCAATGACTCCAACCTCGAAAACGAAAACGCCACCACCGTACGAAATCAAGCATTGAAAACGGCGTCTGTTAAAAAAAAGGAAGAATGAGAAAAACCAAGCAGTCAATGTAGCAAAAGGGCGCTCTTTTACGAAATAACTAAACCTTAACTAAACTTTCAGCTTCTATGGACCAAGCCATGTGACGTCATGCCGACTGGCAACCGCCGAGCAACCCAAGAAGTTAAGCATCTTTTGCATGCTATTTGACCCATAAACAGTATAATTGTCAACAATTTTTTTAACATTCATGTTTCAAGGGATATACGTTGGATTTGACTTTTGGAACGGTAATAAATTCACTTAACTACTTTTATTAATGATCTGTCCGTTGCCTTGACCAAGACAAGACAGTGCACCAACTGGCGGATGTCAACATATTCAGGGATCTAAATAGCGTCAGAAAACAGCGTGATCCCTTGAACATTACATGTGCAGATCACATTATACTCGGTGATTATGAAAACGACAAAACGACATGATATTTAAACGACGTGACACATGAACAGATCACCATGTTACATCGATCGTGAATATGTACATGTAGCTTTAAACATTTAAAAATACAGAAAGTGTGAATTATGAATTCATTTTTGCACCATACTCATCAGGTGTCCAGAACTGTTGATCCGTGTGCTTTGTTGAATTCATGAAAAATTTTACTTTTTTGTATGCCTATACTTGAAGTTTCCCGCGATGATACCAAACATTTTTAATGGGTGCGTTCAGTATACTAAGCAACGGTGGGTAAATTAGTTGTGGCGATATAAGTCAGTAGGAAAAAATGATCTAAATAGCAATCTCAATCTAGTACATGTAAAAGCAGACAGATCCCCGTGTCGAGGCCATATATCCCCGGCCTTCTGAAGCGGAAAAGATACAGTTTGAATACCCAACCCATACAGGTTCGGCACATTACTATAATTCTTCGTGATGATGTTTCAGTTTTTTGACTGCATTGCGCTTGTTTATATTCATTCATGCTGAACCTATGCATGCCTGTTGACTTTTGACTTACACAAAATTTGAAGTTTGTTGACCTTGAACACTTGCAAATTCTTTTCTTTGGGTTCACATGATCTGAGATTTTGGGTAAATCGTCTGTCACATTCTTTGACATTTTTTTGGTCTTTCCAAGTAATTTTCGTTGCAGTTGTTTGTTTTTTACCATTGTTTGGATTGCATTGTTGTTTCGAAACGTTACACCACTGAAAAGTCACACGTATGATTTCGGATTTTTGGTGATTCTTTTACAATTTATTCTTGACCAATCACTGTTGACATTGACGATTTATGATGTGTTGATGAAATAATAACAGAGTGAATTCATAGGGGAAAGGACCAACTTTAATTTCTGCTATCTGTGTGATTTTTATTCTGAGCAAAGTTTCGTCGTTTTAAAACGAACAGACATAGGTTCTCAGACAAAGCTTGAGAATAACCTGTGACATAAATGAAAGATTTTGTTGCCCCCTTTAATTTGTTGTGATGCTTGTAGTTCTGTGAGGATATAGGCCATTATAAATTTCCAATTTCCATTTCGCCATGTCCGCTTCTCCGTGGAATTGCCCACAGTGTTCATTGTCACTTTTTTTTTTATAGTTTCAGGAGTTTGTTTACTCTTCAGGATGAAAGTGAGCTTAACAAAATATTCAGTTTGCAGTATACTTTGCGCATTGAAATGACTGAGCCATCAAACCAAAAGTAGGCCTAATGTGTGAGTATGTGCGATGAGATTTCTTAAACCCGCAATGATGCATTTGTTTTACAAATTAAAACATAATGGTTCCACTAAAAAAAGCTGAATTGTGTGATTTTTTTCCGACGTAAGTATGAGTCACAACTTAACTAGGTAATGTCCAAAAGAAATAGTTCCCTGCCTGATCACACAGCGTGCCTTTGATGACATATAAGGCTAGTATTAATTTTGATACACAGTCAAACAGAGTAAGCATATGTCATGAGAAAGATATATGGCTCTTGGGCCATCGCAGATTTGTCCCGTTGAAAAAATATAGCTAGAATATCAGGCAATGGCAGCCACTTTTAAAATTGCTTGTTATTCTACCTACATTTTTTCAAAGGACAATATGTAGCCAACATATCTTTCTTCAGTGGCGTAGCACGGTCATTTTTATTGGGGGGTAAATTTGTTTGGAAAAGGGCACTTGCACATCCGTGCTGAAATGTAGACACGTTTTTTACCCGGACACTTGGCCTCCGTAAAATCAAATAGTGAAGGGGGGGGGGGGTACCATCTGTCGATGGGGGAGCTGTTCAAAACCGACGATTATAGGCACACTAACGGACAATATATGGTGCTTTAAACGTCGATACATGCGCGAAATTAACAAAAAAAAGGCACCTGCAACGGCCGATGGCACCAAAAAGGCCACCACTTAATTTTAACAAGGGCACTTGTTCAAAAAAAAAAAAGACTGCCTTGTTACCAAAAAAGGCACTCTTTACAAAATATTGGTGGGAGGGTAAGCGCTGGTGAAAAAAAGGGCATTTGAATAGAAAAGGGCAGTCTTGACAAAATATTGGGGGGGGGGGGATAAATACCCCCTCCCCCCCCGCTGGCTACGCCTATGTTCTTACATAGTCTGACTGTGTGCCAAATGTCATGCTTTTATCAACAACGGCACAATTCCTCCAAATAATTATGCTATCTGCCCACTACCGCGGATTGAGAGTGAGTGCATGTGTATAGCGTTTTCAGATCATCAATTCTTAATTATCAATTCGTCTTAATTTTCAGTTAATTATCATACTTTAATCATCAATGTTCCTTTTGAATTTTAATGATCACTCCTGTATAACGATAAATTCTACTGGATGCATTACTCATTGTTGTATACTCACATGCAGTGTGCCTATATGCAATGTGTACACTAAAGTTCCTATTGTTTTATACAGAGCAAATTACCTTCACTGCCCACACACAAGCATGGGCTTCGCCAGAATTTTTTCTAATGGGGGGCAAAAATTTTGTTGGCCAAAAAATGCTTGTATTTCTCAACACATTCTCGATTTATCAGTTTTAGAGGAGGGCAGGGACATTCCCCCCCCCCCCCAACTCATTAACTTTACACCACTTTGTCTTCGCGCCTCTTTTTTTTTTTTTTCTTTTTTTTTGGTTCCTTTTTTTTTGCTTTTCCGGGGGGGGGGGGGCAAGGGTTGCCCCCCCCCCGCGACGCCCATGCACACACGTCACTGGTCTTTCTCAGTACAACCAACTTACTTGATCATTGTTTCAAGCTATGACGTTTACTCATTAATAGTTATATCTTTCTGAGTGCCCTGTGACAATTTCCTCATTCATTCAACCAGTGGCGCACTCAAGGGGGGGGGGGGGGGCTCGAAGGGCTTGACGCCCCCCGCCCCAAGAGGTCGTAATTTGGGTTTTTTGGGTTTTTTTTGTAAATTTTTGTTAGTCCCACGATTTGACATTGGTGATATGTATGTGGCCTATTTCCGAGTAGTAAAATGGAGGGGGGGGGGGGGTAAGTGGTGCCACCAACGTCAAAATAGTCCTCCCCAAAAAACAAAACAAAAAACTTCAAAACAATTTGAAAAAAAATTGTGAGCCCCGCCCCCCCAAAAAAAATCCTGGGTGTGCCACTTCATCAACCCGTTCATTCAATTTCAGCTACTCACTCAGTTGAACTCATTCAGTTCATTGATTTGATTTAATCTTTGTCTCAGTTCGCTTCAACCAGTTTTGTTAATCAATGTGTATTCAAATATTGTTCAAGTGTGGAATAAATGGTCATTGTAAACACAGTGCTCAACCAAAGAATTGGTACTTGACATTCCCCGCAACAAGTGCTAGTGATATTTTATAGGGACCGGGAACCAGTCTGAAAGCTTCAAGTTCATCCTTGTCTTTCCAAACGAAAATTGTAACTAACTATTTTTTTTCCAACTTGGTAACAACTTATATTATATTGAAAAATCGGACTACATTTACAGTAGTGTTAGCCAAAACTTCAGGCATTTGTAATAAAGTCACTTTGCTTTACTGTTTTTAGTCAATCATGCTGAACACAAATCTTGTCTTAATTTGGTTCCGAGTCATCAGCCAATAGTGAAGCAGTCAAACAACGTTTAGCTTTTGGCAACCTTGCTAGCCGATATCCATTACAATGTATTAGGCCTACCCATAGATTAAACGAAGAAGAATGGATCATGTGATCAATCGAAAATAAATTTGAACTAAATCGTAAATTTGCAGAATAAAGACAGTATTACATGTAACTGAAGGCCTGCTCGCAATTATAAAGCAAATCTAAGCCTCAAACAATTTAAAAGAAAAACCTGTTTCTACTGAAAACACTTAAAATAGGTCTGGTTAGTGAATTCTGTGTTGGCCTACGGATGAAGACACTCAAGGTGTGAATATCTAACGCAAAGCCACGAGCAGACCCACAGAAACCAGCAAAATGGCGGCGAGGGAGGCCTGGCCGGCACCGGCGGTCGGTGGGGGCGCCGCGCTGGGCGTCGTCGCCACGCCCTCAACAAGTCCCCCGTTGCACAGGTTGTCAGAGCAGCAGGTTTGACAGGTGATATTCTGGGCGTCACACCCAGGGGTGCACCCCCGGGGAAAGTGCTGTTGGATATGCACAGCCTGTTGAGGGTGCTTTGCTCCATGTAGTTGGTCGTTAAAACCTAACAGGAGGGAAAATAATGGCGCAAGATAATCCTTAAGCCCAACTCTGCAAAGAATGATCACACTTCATGATTTTATAATATTGATAACAACCTTACGCTGCCACTATATAAACAAATAAATTTAAACTGTAGGTTATTTAACAAACTTACCCCGCACTGTCCATCGGCGCATGGAAATTGCACTACCCCGTCGCCGTTCGGGTCGAACGGATCGTTACACGCTGGGGAGCTGATGTTGCTAGCAGAGGGATCCGAACTGTATGCACAAAGGTAGCAGTGAAGGATGTCTTCAACTGCGTCCGCAATAGATCTGCTGTTACACAGATCCTCGTTACAGCAGTAACTGCATACGGTTCCCGCCTCAGGGGAGGTAATGCAGCCGGGTGTGCAACCACTAGGCTCGGTGCAACTTCTAGAATACAGCTCAGTGCCACCAGAACTTATCTTTTGGGCCTAAGGGGTTGGGGTGGATTTGTAATCGAATTAAGACATGAATTTCAAAGAAATTACAGTCACGAAGGGTGAAATGAGAAGACTGTGGTGGGGCATTCATATTGATTTTCAACAGTTGTATTATGTTGAGCATTGCTCTTCGCTATCATGTCCTTAAGACATTAAAATTTACGTACATGATCTTCGGGAGAAAAGTTGAAGAGGCTATATAAAATCAACTAAATAAAAGACGGTTAGCCGGAGTTTACATCTAAACAGAACTTTATCCAAAACCAAATTTTGCCCGATATTAACCCGGCCTTACTCGGTAGGGTGTGTGGAAATCACATTGCAGTTGGAGGATTTAGTACTGTTACATGAAATGATTGAGGGTCCTTAGAATAAAAAACAACAACGTGTCAAATCCAACTTACCGTACAGACATTACCGCTAGGACATGTCATTGTCGACACGCCGGCCGGGTCGAACGGATCCCCACAATTACCGGCGGGAAAAGAGCAAGTGTAGCAGTCAAGAGCGGCACATGATCCTGGATGTAAAAAAAAGGATGTAAAAAAAGGAAACAGCTACCAGACTGGTACGACTCGTGACTCGGACTCGACTCGTGTCCCATTTTCCGAGACTCAGACTCGAATCGAGTCACGACTCGGACTCGAGTCACAATGACAAATGACTCGGACTCGGACTCGACCCTGTGGACTCGGACTTGGACTAGGACTCGATCTACGTGACTTGAGACTCGGGCAAAATACCACAAATTTTTTTAACCAATTATTTGACGACGACGGTCCTCTCCTGAGCAAGCGAATGTGCGGTGCGCGATATTTTTTTTGTACACATACATTCGTAATGGGCGTATTTCGAAGTACTTTGAGTTGCAAGTCAGGGACTCTATTTTTCCTTGAAAAAAATCCTCCAAACCACATATTGGTAAAAGAAAAATGTTCCAAATGACTAACAAACCTTTTATAAGAGAAAAAAAAAAAGAAGCAAAGAAAAAGAAATTAAAAAAAGCATCCAATGGGGATCGAACTCACACCATTGGATTTGTAATCCAATATAGTATCCATGACACTACATCAGTGACTCGATCGATGTGGTAGTTTTAAACGTTATACTATTGCATATAAATGGGTCCCTCCAGCATAATTCCATATTTAGTAGCGAGAATGTGGTTTGGAAAAATAAATCGCGTGCGGTGCATACGAAACGCATTAAAGTATTGTACATACACAGCGCGTGCGGCTGGCTAGTTTCCGAATTCCTATATATTGATCTGGGAAATAAATGTGTCGAAACATGTACACACTGGGAAATTTGCCTGCGTTAATTTGACCAATATTGTTTGGGTAAAAATTTCTGTTTAATTCAACCAAAACTTCGGCGATCGTGAAGTGTAGGGCCCGGTTCCTATAAGGGAACAAATCCACTTTAAAATTATTGGACCTACCAAACTAGTTGGCGACATTCTCAATAAACAGGTATGTCATAGATACAGGGCAGGGTTTTGATTTTTTGATGGAATTTTGGGGGTAAAATGACGATGACAGCGCGGCGACAACACGCGACCCGAAAATAAAGATGGCGATCACCGCGCGATGTACCGTGAGCACGCACGGCGCGCTGAATCGCAAGGCACAAACCGCGCAGGAATATCGTGATTTCTACCCAAGAATCTGTTCAAAATTGCAAAACGGGTGTCATTAGAATTAAAAAAAGTCTGCTTTTGATCGTAATGGTGATTTTTGAGCAATAAAAAGCATTTTTGACTCTAATTTGATCAAAACAAAACAGGGGCCCTACACTTCACGATCACCAAAACTTGTGGTTGTCAATTGTCAATTTTATTATTAAATTGTCAATAATTGTCGCCATGAACTTGGAAAATATCCATGTGAACCATCATGGTGGATTTAGAACTGAACTTCTCCCCAGAAATGCACCGAAGAACTCCCCCAATCTTTTTATAAAATTGCTCTACCTACCAATACCGGCGACAAACAGCATACAGGCGAATAGCAGCATAGACAAACCAGGCGTCTTCATCTTTGATATTTATATCTCGTGTGAATTTCTCCAAATTCTGGTCTGCAGTTGCTCCTTTGTTAGAATTGCCTATGACGAGAATTTTCGGGCGCAGCTCATTTGCATACACGCAGAAAGCATAGTCACCAGCGAGGCGTGTGACGAACCGTTTTATAACAAAAGGAAATGCTGGAAATCTTTCCGGAAATATATAGGCCCGAAAAAAAAACTTTGTAAAAAAAAGAAGAAGGATCAACAGTTTGCTGAACCCGACACAAGTGTGAGATATTGGTCCATTACATCCTTCGCACGTGACCCGGAAGGATCCTGACTTTTACCTGCTAAGTGACCTCGACTAGGCCTAATAATACACGTACTTCCGGTCAGGGGTACGTGCAGTTATGATCATCCGCAAATTTAAATTTAAAGCTTTGTGCAGGCCCTTCTGTAGCGATTCTAACGATGTGTATTATAGCATATCGATTAAAAAAATACACAGAAAATGAGACCTCGTGATGCCAACAAGATTTCCAAGATTTCTAAAATCCTCCTGGAAAGTTAGCAAGATAATTTATAATCCTTGCAAGGAAATTATGCAAATTATAATGGCCTACTATTTTGTAAAAATGTTTTATTTTCAAATGCAATACGAGTATTGCCGCATAAGGAGTAAAAGTGGTAATTGTATCATCTCACTTTTAAGTAAGTATAAACTAGAATTATTCATTGATTTTTTTGTATTTGATGATTGCTATGTACAAAAGCTCATACAACATTGATCACCTTTTGTATACTCATGATGTATAGTTTTAGCTACAAATTGAACTTTGTTAAAGTCAAATCTTTTGTTTATATATTTGTCAGAATTTCACATATATTAAAATATTTTTTTTAGTGTAGGTCCTACACTGTTTTCCCGTGTCGCTATTACAGCTGAGCAGTACAACTTTAACCAAGAATGGACCGATCCAGTAAGCCCCTCCCACTGCGCACGTGAGCAAAATAACACGTGCTCCTCTCCAATGCCACACTGCATTTTCCTACCGCGCGCATCATACGCGCATGCACGCACGTCGGACTGTTGTGCACGCATGTCGGACATAAATCACGGCTGTGATTGGTCAGAATACCATGGGGCGGTGCTTACTGGATCGGTCCATTAAGACTTGAGTAACGGTGTGCAAGGGTCATTCTATAAATTTGGGATCCCCTTTTCCCTGTTACATCTGACATGATGTGATTTTATAGTTTTTATACACTCGCAGTCGCCCCTAAGTGATAATGAATAGCAAACTACCTACCCAACTAATAAGGCCAAACTAAAAAAAGGCTCCGGTTGCACAATGTGCCGCTGCACAATTTTAACGCGTTTTTAGATGGGGTTACGATCGAGTATAAGCTTTATGTGGCCTCTCTGGGCTCCCATATATTTTGCACTTAATTTAGTCGGGCACCATTTGCAGTCATCAGCCGACATTTGAAGGAAAAAAAGAGTAAGGCTGCATCCGAATCAACTGTCTAGAGCTAGGTCTAGGTCTGCGCCCATTGAAAATACGCGGGGACGCGCTGACAATAGACGTAGCCGTAGCTCTGGAAGCCCGTTTCGGACACGGCCTAACCAAAAAAAAAGCCAAGTCGCCGCACCACTGTTGGGGCAAGCTCCATACCAGAAACCGAACTTTTTTTGGCCTAAAAGATGATTTTTGAAGTCATTCTTAATTACATTTGAATGGCAAATTACAAAGTATCAAGGTAACAGGGACAAGAAACCATAATGTTACAATTGGCAGGGATACATGTAGTCAAGCCCATCAAGTCCCTGCAAACCAATCACAAGTCCTCAGTCAAATCCCAATGGACCAATCCAGTAAGCACCGCCCCATGGTGTTCTGGCCAATCACAGCCGTGATTTATGTCCGACGTGCGTGCACTAAAGTCCGACATGCGTGCACGCGCGTATGATGCGCGCGGCAGGAAAATGCAGTGTGGCATTTTTGGAGAGCTAGAGGAGCACGTGTTAATTTGCCCACGTGCGCACTGGGCGGAGCTTACTGGATCGGTCCATTCAACTAACGAGCTATCCAAACGAGCTTTTGACAACCCTTTGTTATTGTTCATCAACTGTTACTTGTGACTGGACTTGTGATTTACTTGAGATTGGACTCGTAATGGACTTGTGATGGACTTAACTCCACTGTACACCTTGTCACTTCGGACCAAATATGTACTGAATGACCCTAATATCTACCACTACCCCCTTTTAAAGCTTTACTAATAATTTGCATACGGCATGCTTAATAATGTCCCAAAGACATGCAGTGCGGCGTGCTGTTTGAGTTGCAACGTACCCGACCATATAGACTATGTTTAAGACCGGTTGGAGTCTAGATGCTAATAATTACTCGACCAATAGGAATGGGTAACCTATCTTAGGTTTTTATAAATGGTAAATAAAGGATGCGTTCGAGTAGCTCGCCCGGATCGACTCGTGTAAAGTCAGACGGGTTAGCCACGAACCGAGATAATCGAAAGCCCCACCGCGGGCCATCACGATCCTCGTCGTGATGTCCGTAGCCGCGGCCGTAGCCTCTGTGACTAAACGCCCGTTTCGTCGTGCTGGGTCTTCGTTTGAGAAAACAGCCTGACGGACAAGCAACAACCGTGACCTACCCGCAACTTTATCCCGTGCCCAACGAACAAGCGCCACCACCGTACGAAATCAAGCATTGAAAACGGCGTCTGTTAATAAAAAGGAAGAAATGATAAAAACCAAGCAGTCAATGTAGCGAGAGGGCGCTCTTTTACGAGATAACACTAAGGCTGCATCCGAATCAGTTGTCTAGAGCTAGGTCTAGGTCTGCGCCCATTGAAAATACACGGGGACGCGCTGACAATAGACGTAGCCGTAGCTCTGGAAGCCCGTTTCGGACACGGCCTAACTAAACTTTCAGCTTCTATGGACCAAGCCCTTTGACGTCATGCCGATTGGCAACCGCCGAGCAACCCAAGAATTTAAGCATCTTTTGCATGTTATTTGACCCATAAACAGTATAATTGTTAACAATTTTTTAAACATTCATGTTTCAAAAGATATACGTTGGATTTGACTTTTGGAATGGTAATAAATTCACTTAACTACTTTAATGATCTGTCCGTTGCCTAGCCTTGGTCAATGCTCTCGTCGTTATTCGTCCCGTACGCGGTCAATCGTCGGCATTATCCTCACGCGCTATGCACATGCATGTAAAAATACAGCGCGAACAGCGACCTCATGCGGCCACTATTTTTATGCAAATCAGTTGGAGACGATCTCGAGCCTTGGTTCAATCGTCCATGTGAGGTTTTGGGGTGGTGCTCATTATGTTAATAGCCTTAGCTGACCTTAAATGTCGATTTCTTATTGGTCGATCGTTGCGTGGAAACTTGCATAGTGAAACGTGGCACCGTACATAATCCATACACGTACACGTTGTGTGTCTCTGCACACGGCACCAATGCACAAAAACTGTGGTTCCTGCCACGTCCGCAAAAGGCGAATAGCTGCAAATAATTTGATGACGTCCGGATTTACCATGGTGTGATTGGACACTCCACATATTAGCCCCGCCTACATTATCTGTATTCGCATACGAGGTCGTGCGCTGGAAATCTAGCGCAAAGTAAAGAAAAACATAAGCTTTGGCCGACGATTGAACCAAGGCTCGAGATCGTCTCCAACTGATTTGCATAAAAATAGTGGCCGCGTGAGGTCGCTGTTCGCGCTGTATTTTTGTGCATAGCGCATGAGGATATATATATGCCGAAGATTGACCGCGTACGGGATGGGACGAATAACGACGAGAGCATTGACCAAGGTTATCCGTTGCCTTGACCAAGAAAAGACAGTGCACCAACTGGCGGATGTCAACATATTCAGGGATCTAAATAGCGTCAGAAAACAGCGTGATCCCTTGAACATTACATGTGCAGATCACATTATACTCGGTGATTATGAAAACGACAAAACGACGTGATAAAACGACGTGACACATGAACAGATCACCATGTTACATCGATCGTGAATACGTACATGTAGCTATACAAATTAAAAAATACTGAAAGTGTGAATTATGAATTCATTTTTGCACCACACTTTTCAGGTGTCCAGAACTGTTGATCCGTGTGCTTTGTTGAATTCATGAAAAACTTTACTTTTTTGTATGCCTATTGACGTTTCCTGCGATGATACCAAACATTTTTAATGGGTGAGTTCAGTATACTAAGCAACGGTGGGTAAATTAGTTGTGGCGATATAAGTCAGTAGGAAAAAAAATGATCTAAATAGCAATCTCAATCTAGTACATGTAAAAGCAGACAGTTTGAATACCCAACCCATGCAGGTTTTGCACATGCCCCCCCCCCCCGCCCCGCCCGTACAACCACATCCACGTACGCCACACCTTGAAAACGCATTACTCAGAACGGGAAATCCCTTGAACAGAAAACCTGAACAGGAATTTGGCAGTACAATATGTAAAATGACATTGCTCATTAAATGTTCTGTTTGTGGTACATACATGCATGTACATAAACGTACGCCAAGTACACGCAATCTGCAGCTGATGCTGAACCTCACACAGCGAACATCATGGCGGAACTCAAGCATCGTGGAGTCTTTGTCTGGAGCCTGCTGCTGACGTTACTGTACGCCAAGGGCGGATCCAGGGGGGGGGGGCCAAAGGGGGCCATGCCCCCCCCCCCAAAAACGAAACCAATTTTTTATTTTTTATGTGACATCGCAATAAAGGCAGACAATGAGTACACCACCATCTTTTCCTCAAAAAACCATTGGTTAAAGTGGTCAGAAATTGCCTCAGATCGCACCACAGAGCATCTAGAATCCAAAATTTTTTCGGGGCCCTTAAGCGGGCCCCGAATCCCACGCCGTAATTGTTTTGACCCACTTTTTGGGGGGACCAAAATTTTTTTTGCCCCCCCCCAAAAAATTGTGTTCTGGATCCGCCCTTGCTGTACGCGGCAAACGCACTATCCTCTGCGCCAGTCACGTTCCACCTGAAGGTTTTAGGTATGCAACTGAATGTTGTTGGAGGATTTGGGGCAAGTAGTTCTTAATCTCAAGGCAAAACATACTACCGACAAAACAACTCTTGCGAATCGTCGCCTTGCTCTGGAAGTGACAAAAACTTCTAAATCTGGCCAAAGTTCATTACGAGATAATCGCATTTGAATGCACGCAATCTGCAGCTGATAATCGCATTTGAAGTTAGGCTATTCCCTTTTTCAAAAGACATTTTTCAATGAATTCGGAAATGTTTGCATTGTCCAATATCTTATGATTTGCTCTTGTTAAACATCTTTTTGTTATTATTATTTTAACCGTATACTGATATGAATTCGAAAAGTTTTTCCAAAAAAATGTACTTTTAACTCTCCATTTGTAAAGCTATAAGGCGTGCTTTTATGGGGTCATTAGGCAGTGTTGGATTATGGGGATTGTTGGGATGATTAACCATCATCGTCCGTCTGGAAAATGCCAACTGGGTAGAAAATACCAATGTTCCCTAAGATACGTAAAATAACACTCGTCATACAATCCCCAGTAATAAGCCATTTGCGAGTTAAATTTGAATAAAATCTGGAACGCTGACTTAATCCAATGCTTTGCACATTTTAACTTTGCATTCTCCCGACCAAAGAGACTGTTACTACATCACGTGATTCGGGGCAAGCCTTATGCTAGCAACACCCAGCTCTGGCATGGTCTGGTGTCTTTGTGCCATTCTCACCCATTGTGAGCGATGTATTGATGCTGAGCGTCTCTTACGTAACTATGCAAGAGCTTGCCCCGAATCATGTGATTAGCAACAGTGTCTTTGGTCTGGAGAATTCAAAGTTAAAATGTGTCAAGCATTCTGAGCAAGTCAGTGTACCAGATGTTATTGAAATGTAAATCCCAAAGGGTATAGGTTACTCGCAAATGGCTTATTGCAATAGGCGTTTGGTCCCATTTATTATTTGTCCTCCGCTTACCCTTTTTACAAATCCAGGATCCGCCATGCAGGGTGGGGTTACACCATAAAAACTTTATCTGGTTTTTGTTACTTGAGGAGCAAAGCGAAACGGTGGATTGGCACACATGAAAATAGTACGAATTGCAATTATGCTGGGCTACCCTTCCCGATGAAAAAAGGATGCTCATCGTTTCATAGGGTCGTTTTTGCTTTTTATGCATTTGTTAATACCACTCAAAATCCAAAGAAGAATGTTCAAAACCTAATGAAGTTTCACCTCAATGCGTACACCTTTCGAGAAAACAGTGAAAAAAACATGCACAATTAATCTTTTTTCATCCATAGCACCCTTTAATTCCAACTTGACTGATGGAACTTCAAATCACCTACATTGCTTGATTTCTTCTAAAACAGCAAGCCAGCTGTTTGCTATCAGTTCAATCTTTTATCCAAATACGCTGTTCGATAATAATTAGGTAGGTTGCTTCAATTATTGGAATATATGCAATAATCCTTAAAGCATTGACACTTTCTATTACATGTACTACAATTTAAAAGGAAATATCTTATTACAAAGGAATTTCTCCATTTGAGAACAAAACACTGCACATCCTGTAACAGACCAAGCATATCCTGGTTATACTGGAACAATGGTGCCAGTCGGTAGCAGTTTGAATTTACGTCGGATGTCAGTAAACATCTGGTGAATGTTCAAGAAGCTTTTTTACTCAGTTTTAAAAACAACATAGGTTTCTGAGCGATTAAAATAATGATTATTTTGTTTCAAATAGTTTTTTAAATACTTTTTAAATTTTACATTCAATTCAATAAATTGAGACCTCCGCGTGAATAAACTGAATCAAGTATTCGTCGCTTATGTCATGTGCAGTGAAATGATTGGCCTATCCATGTGTTTTAAGGTAGCCTTGAACCAGGCTATCTGCTTGTTCCCATACGAGCTTGTTCCCGCTACCGCACACCGCGCGCGCAGCGACACAATGTTGTACTATACCGTTAGCCCCAGCGACCCTTGCGTGTGCTTTGTGTGCATGTACGTACGCCCCCCACACACTTCCGCAAACAGCCGTACAGTAAGTCGAGTTCCGCCTCGAATTACTGTACGGCTGTTTGCGGAAGTGTGTTTGGGGCGTACGTTCATGCACACGAAGAACACGCAAGGGTCGTTGGGGCTAATATATTACAACATTGTGTCGCTGCGCGCGCGGTGTGCGGTAGCGGGAAGAAGCTCGTATGGGAACAAGCTGATTGCCTTGGTCAAGGCTAGTTTTAAGGTAGCCATGATTTCCTTGACCTTTGACACTGAAATTGCGTGAAGTTGGGAAATTCCAAGTAAAGAAGTGAAGAAGAGTGGGGAAACCCCCATAATAATGAGCAATGGCCTACATCAGAAGCTGCTGTATGCATATTTACTGATTTGCTCTTTTATTTTTTTTAAATATGGACTCCAATCTAATTTTCAATACTTTTCGGAAGTGTTTTATGAATATGCGGTTACAAAGAAATACATGGAAAATGTTTGAAAATTTGGAATAAACGTTCATAATTTTTCCACAAAATGTGTGATTTTATCTCGGGGAGGGGATTTTTTTTGGGGGGGGGTGGAGTGAAAATTGCTCTGTGGCTTGTTATTAGATGAACTTCACCTGGGATTATAAGAATGAAGTTGCTGTCGATCACAATTACTTATTACATTATTTTGTTATTATCCCGTATATATAGAAGGATTGGGCCACAATTGTCACATTTTTTTTGCATTTCCAATTCCTCGCTGGGCTCATGAGTTATAACTGGCAATTGGCAATTTCAAATTTGATTTTATGTGACACATGAAGCTTTGACATTTATAATGCGACACGAATCAACGAAGACACTCCAACTATCAATTGTCATAAACGTCCTTTGCTTTCAAAACCGATTCTTAGAAACATAATTGATTGAACATAGAGTTAACGACAGTACCCACTCAAAAATATGATCATTATCTCGAGACTGTTCATCTCATACAACTTCCAAACAATGTACAATTTATACTTGCTATATTGAAATAGCTGATGTAAGCATTTTTGGTACAAACAAACTTTGGGCACATTCACGTCGCACTGTTGTAGGAGTCTGATATATGGGTTGGAATGAACTTTGGACAGCAAGCAGTATACATGCAAAGCTATTGCTAATACAAAAGGAGGGAAAAGATAACTCGCATACTATAGCTTATAGCCTTATAATACATTTAAGCTTATAGCTTATATACATTTAATGTTGCCACAGCCCTGACATAGTACACGGGCATCACTTAGATAGACAAACAGGCGTTAAGTAATTTAATTACTGTTTTATACGCACTCTGCAGAAGTAGTTGGCCCGGTCTTCGACGACACCACGTACACCATCCCGGGTTACGATGTCGTGTCTCTTAGCGTCGGTGTGATCATTGCCATTGTCGTGGGCTGTATCTTGTTCCTGGTCCTGTGCATTTGCTGTTGCTACTACTGCTGCTGCAGGAGCCCTCCTCCACCCCAGCAGACAGTCATCGTCGCTCAGTCCGCACCAGCGCAGTCCACCGTGGTCGTAGCTCAAGCTCCCCAGGCAGTGTACAACCCCCAGCCCATGGGTCCACCGCCCATGCAACCACCGGTCGGCTACGGGCAACCACAGGCGGGCTATGACGGGCCGCCACCCTACCCGGGCCAGCAGACGGGATACGGTTACGCTAAACTCTAAATTTGCAACCTGGTGCTGCATGCAGTTAGTTTTACTCGTCTTCCATTTGTATAGCCACTTTAATATCCATTTTTTTGTGTCGCCCAAACGAAGTTTGGGTGGACACTCACCAGTCCTAAATTCTGTATGACCGTATGTTTAAAGTTTAGGTTAAGTTTTTGAAAAACATGTACAACTCTATACTTTCATGGATTTTGCTGAAACTTGGATGCGGCGACCCTTGGGTGGGAAGACACGGTTCGTCATCGGATTACTGAGGTCAAAGGTCATGTAGGGGTCATAAGAGGTCATGGTTCAAATCTTCTTCAAATGTTTGTCTACAGAATTTGATGGATTTTAATGCTACTTGGATGGAGCGTTCCTTATGTGGGGTTCATTACAACTCTTCCAAAATTGGAGGTCAAAGGTCATGTTGGGGTCATTTCAGGTCGCTGTTTAAAAATGCACAAAATCGTGCTGACTACTTGTTATAAGGAAGAGCTAATTGGATGATAAAAATGACATAAAAAAGGAGCAGCTGATTTTCGTTTATGCCGGCAGTGTAGTTGACTGTGACAATCAGTTGCCCCACCTGGCAAAACCAACTTTTTTGGGCTCATGACTTTCTTGGTAACAAAATCAATCAGTCCGCGGAAGAGATTTTATTTGCCTGTTAGTTTTTTTTCTCAAGGGAAAAGGGGAACAAAAGCAACCACAGTAAATAGACTCTGAAAAGTTATTTAGGGCCCTAAAACATTTTAAACCATTCATGTTTCAAGAGGTGTAGGCACATGTAGTGCAGAAGAGACCCGTTTGTTGAAACAGTGGCGCACCCAAGGGGGGAGGGGTCGGGGGGCTTGAGCCCCCCCCCCCAAGAGGTTGTATTTTTTTTTTTTTTTATTGTTTTGTAATTTTGTTTTAGTCCCACAATTGGTTCTTGGTGATATGTATGTGGCCTATTTTCGAGTAGTATAATAGGGGTGTAAGTGGCGCCACCAATGAAAATAGTCCACCCCAAAATAAAAAATTTTCTGTGGCCAAATATTTTGGCCAAAATTTTCTGAATTTGTTTTCAAGTACTTCAACAAAAATTGGGGGGAAAAAATAATTGTGAGCCCCCCCAGCCAAATCCTGGGTGCGCCACTGTGTTGAAAGATGGAATCCCGTGACCACAACATCCAATTTTGCATACAAAGGTCACATGGCCTACATAGTCAACTCATAGCTGACCTTACATTGGCCTAATATTAATGAAAACAATTTGCCTTTTCCAATAAAATGTAGGCCTATACGTTAAGGAGAGAAAAAAACTTCAAGAATTGCGTTGGTCATTTTGGGAGTCCGGTAAGCCAACATATAATAATCGTGCGACAGAAAGTTTATGATAATTTTATATGCGGAGGGTAGAATGTTTTCTATAATTTCTCAAAAAACACGAACCATGTAACCTGTACATGCAAATTAAACTTTGAAGTAAACATGAATTTGATGTAGGTCTATCTACTCTTCGAAACGATCACTGTATACAGTACTAATGTAGTACAAATGTATAAAGATTTTAAAATACTGTATAGACTTGATGGCCATAAATAATAAAGGAATGGTATCTTCTTCTTTTTTTTACATAAAAGTACACCTTTTTATGAGTTTTTTTTATAAAAGTTATAAGAAATTTAGTACTTTGAAATTGACTTAAAGGAAAATTACGTCCTGGAATGCCCCAATTGGGCTACAAAACGCGTTTTAAACGAAATGATATTAATTGGATAGAGCGTTTAAAAGTAGGATGTAAACGTCCACACAACCATCCTGTAAAAACTCGGCCTTTTGTGTTATTCTTGTGAGAACCAAGCGAGAACGAATTTCGGGGTCACAGTTTTGACTCTCAAAAGCTGTTGGGTGCTAGTTGTAAATCCTGCCGCACAAAGCATTGTATTCTGCGGACGTGCGAGAGACATTGTGTATTGGTGCTGTGTGTGTTATGTGACACACACATAGTGTAGCGTACATTGAATGGACACGGCTGGATATACGTATGCGTATATTGCCACAAAATGTCATCCGCGTCCGATTTAAACAACCGGTTTTCCCCGTCTTTTTTTCGAGAACGGTAAGACATTAGGTTTGCTAACTTTCGACCGGACCTTCAAAGAGGATAAGCAAACAATCCAAACATAACATGTTGGGGGATTTCAGGCCGTAATGCCCCTTTAACTACTTTAATTACCTTTCCGTTGTCTTGACAACCTGAACCAACTGGCGCATGTCAACTTATTCAGGGATCTAAATAGCGTCAAAATACAGCATGAACCATGCACATGTGCAGATCACATCCCAACCGTAATTAATGCTCAGTGATGATGAACATTATGACACAAGGACACGAATGGATCACCACCGTGAACTTATGTAGCATAATGTTTCTTCTTTAGAACAAAAAAATATTTCAACTTCTTTTGTCTGTGGCTTTATATTAAACAAGCTGATTTACACGATCATAGATCGGGTATATAGGGCGTAGTGTTGGGGACGAAAATGTGGGGAGTTAAATGTAAATGGGGCCTTGGGATTTAGTTGAAAAGACATGCAGTTATAGAAAAGCAATTTTTGTGGTGTGATCTGAGGCAATTTCTGACCACTTAAACCAATTTGAGCAAAAGATCATCTTTTAAAATCATTTTCCAGCTTGGGATAATTGAATCAGCTACACGGTATTCTGAGCAATAGAATCATTATAGTAGGCTACAATTTTTATTCGGGGAAGAAAAAGTGGGGGGGGGGGGACCAAACAATGTCCCCGCTTTAAAATGGGGGGGGGGGTCCCTCTGTTCCCCAACGATTTACGCACATGATAATTATGTACCATGACAACTGTTTGTAAATGTTCCCGTTGGTCTGTTAAATTGGCATTTTGTGAGGCAGTCGTATTGCCGGGAAAACGTAGTGAAAAGGTTACCGTAGTAAACATGCGAAGGTTGATTGTACAGTTTTGACAATGAATTATAATGCAATCAAACGTGAAGTTGTCATTTACAATGAAAATGTTGAGTGTTACCATAAAATTACAAACGGTCTGAATGATGGAGGAAGGTCATAATTAAGTTTCAGTATTGGACTCTTCAACACACGTAAACTTGAACTTCTTACAATTTGCGAGACCGTCAGCGAGGAAAAAGTCGATTCAACTTTTATTCAAGTTGGTCAACCATCTATATAAGAGCAAGTTTTACTTGGCCTCCGAGAAATGTTCGCTCCTGAAAGGATCCGAGACCGGTCTCCCGCGACGCAAAAATGGCTCCACGTCCATAGAAAAATACGGAGAATTTCTTCCGCCAAATCAAGCACTTCAGGTCGTCCTAATTTTTCCGTACGGACCGGCGATCCGTTTTGTCGAGTTTTTTGTGACTGCATTCAAGATCGCGATATTTGAAGCAATGCATCGATCTTTCGTTGATCCCAAACAGGCCCCCGAACAAATTATAACGTGACACTGAATTATACCGTGACGTGGCGGGCAGCGAACTCACAACGCTCAGGCTTGGTAGAAGCATAGAGTTAGTGGAAGCATGGAGCTGTAATTAAACACATATCACGCGACGTCACATGCTTGTGCAATAGCGAGCACCGTAGACCCAACCTCGTTTTCAGGGTGTGGAGCAGGCTGCAAGGGCGGATCCAGGGGGGGGGGGGGGTCAAAGGGGGCCATGCCCCCCCCCCCCCAAAAAAAAAAAACACGAAACCAATCTTTTTTTATTTTTATGTGACATCGCAATAAAGGCAGGCAATGAGTACACCACCATCTTTTCCTCAAAAAAACATTGGTTAAAGTGGTCAGAAATTGCCTCAGATCGCACCACAGAGCATCTAGAATTCAAAAAAATGTCGGGGCCCTTAAGCGGGCCCCGAACCCCACGCATCCTGACGTATCATACGCTGACTTTAGGCAAAATAGTCAGACTTTTGCGGTCTAGTAACCAGACTTTGACTCTTAACGAAACATCGAATGAAAAGTGAAACATCAAATGCATATTGCAAAAGATCGAATGCAAACATACCGATGAAACATCGAATATAAAATAGCTGGAAATGTCGAACATATTTGTAAAACATTGCTCACATATTTGAGAATATCGCAAACATATTGTAAAACATCACACACAATTGTATCGAAAAACATCGCACATTTAATGCAAAACATCGAACATAACATTGAAAACATCGCACATATATATCGTCAAACATATCGCACATATAAATTGAAAATCGGATATAAATGTAAAACATCGCACACATATATTAAACATCGCACACATAATGAAAAAGTCGCACACTTATGTTGAACATCGCACATAAATGTAAAAGATAACAAACACATATTGAACATCCAACATATATATTGTAAAACATTGAATATTGCAACGTTTGACACGCCATACTTTTTAGCCTCGGGTAATTTTTTGTTGTTGATGAAATCGCTTGGCTGACATTAATGATAGCAAAAGGCTGTATAGTGGCGGACGGTATTCAGTTATTAATTCCTGGAGATAATCCGTATACGACGCCAAAGTTTTATAAACATTGTACATGGTCAGGTTCACTAACCTTGAACTATGGTCCAAGGTTCAAGTGACGGGCCGGGACTCGCAAAAGAATGCATGCTGCAGTGCAGTACGAGGCCTACGTGCAATTTGGAATAGAGAGCACTAGCTGGTACACATGTACAATGTACATGTATAACTCATCGGTCACCGATGCTTGATCACGCCGAATGTGTGGAAGACCCAACACATTTTGTTCATTCGCAGGAGCATCGGAAGACCATGGCAGGCTTCAATTACTGCACTCGTAATCTTGCCTGGTGGTTTCTGCTGTTAATGCTGGGTCTACTAGTCAAGTCATCGGCATCAGAACGTGAGCAAATGGGGTTTCTTCTACGATAAAAACTGAATGAGTTCAGGGTTATCATATGGGGCACAAAAGCCATGTTTGGTAATTTCTTTCAGGTTAATTATTGACATTTCATCTGATTTTTGAAAATTGTAATATCT